TTTTTTTTGTTTTTTTTTTTTTTCTTAATCCCCATTTGGTAACTGGAAGATAGGAAAAAACGTCGTTTTTTGTTGGTCCCTGGCCTAGCTCAGTTGATACATCCCCCCTGGACTGAACTGTTGAAATACAGACCAGGTGCTGAGTTCGAACTCCAGACTGTGGAAGCAGATGAGTGAAATACAAATGCTAAGAGTAACTGTTCTGAATGACCTACAGTCTTCCCCCGAATACACCGTACGGTCATTATAGCTGAATTTAGACTGAAAGATACCCCAAGTTCAGCTATAATGACCGTACATTGTATTCGGGGGAAGACAGTAGGGCCGGTCAGTTCGATGATGATACCTCAAGGCCTTCGCTCTTTTAATATATAATAAGAAAAGAGAGAGAGAGAAAGAAAAAAAAAAAAAAAAACGGCGTTTTTACTGCCAGCGGCCGAGTGTCTATTGGGATGAGCACTTATCCCTCTCCTCTCTCGTCATTTCTCTCAGACCTTTTTTTGTCTTTTTGCTGTCTTTTTTACTTTTTTTTTAACCTTTTTTTTCCGTTCTGGCAGTTCATGGATATTCTGGAGAAGGAATTGACAAAGACGGAGAAAGAGAAGGAGACCTTCATCAAGGACTTCTCAGAGGTGAGCCATTGGCACTGCATGTTCATCATTCATTAATATCATTATCCTTCGATTTTTTTTTATTTTTTTTTTTATTATTTTTTTTTTTTTAAAACAGAACCTCTTGGTTCTGGCCCCTGCCATTCTGGGGAGCAACAGTCCGGTTCCTATTTCCCCGGCAAGTCAAATATAAATACAATGAAAACACGCTCACGCTCCTCCCCATTATGGTTGAGATCCCCGAGTGGACGGCATTGATTACTTCCCTAAGGGAAGGATATACCACCCCTCACCCCTGCCTAAGTTAGCCGATATCCACTACCGTCTGATCCTCTGAGATGCCTACCTTCTAGCTCTTTCCACTAAGTGCTAAGTGCTGTCTGATAAACCTGAATGCTAGCCTATATCCACTATCTTGTGAATCTTGTGATCCTCTGAGACGCCTAGCTCCTAGCTCTTTCCGCAGTGCTGTCTTATAAACCTGAATGCTAGGACTAATATTTGGGGCTGGCTTCGATTTTTATCATTTTTATTTATTTATTTATTTATTTATTTATTTATTTATTTATTTATTTATTTATTATTACTCCAAAGAAAGCATCGCATAAAACACAAAATTTCCAAAAGCAAAAGCTCATACAAGACCAAACTTGAGTGAGCCGAGTTGGAAAGCAGAATTAGAAAAGCAAGAGCACACCAATGAGGAGCCAACTGCTCCATCGATGAATACAAAAACAATGCCGTAGGCTTACTGTCATGTGCCTGCCTTAACACTGCCTTAACACTCCTCCTGAGTACTCTCTATTCCTTTACTCTCTCTCTCTCTCTCTCTCTCCTGTCTCTTATACACATCTAGATGTGTATAAGAGACAGCTCTCTCTCTCTCTCTCTCTCCACATGCCTCTCACGAGATGCTTCTGAACAGTCTGCTTACACAGAATAACCCTTGTCAGCACCAGTGAAGTGCCACAGGTTGGGGGTTCAAACCACCAGCACAGTTCTGCAAAGAGGCTGGGAAACGTGCTGGTGGTTTAAATTACCAAAAAAAAAAACCGGAATGAAATTATGAAAGACTTAGAAAAGACAAGAAAAGAAACAGTCAGCCTCCCTTTTTTCTTCTTTTTCCTTTTTCTTTTTTCTTTTTTTTTCCCTTCCCTTCTCTGCAAAGAGACTGGCGGCGAAGAAAAGGCAAGACAAGAAAAAGTCATAGGATCTACTTACTACGAAGACGTAGCAGCAGATGTTTCTTTTTTTTTTCTTTTTTAAAATTTTGTAGTATTTGGACATGTACGGTACATTTCTACGGTCCTAGGCATGCTAGTTTATTTATTTGTTCTTTTTCCTTTTTTGCATTTTATTTTTTTTGTAGTATTTGTACATGTATGGTACATTTGTACGGTCCTCTTTTCTCCACTATAATTTCTGCTTCTCATCCTTTCGCTAACTTTCTTGTTCATTCTTTTTACTGCTTTTCATCTTTTGGCTCTCATGTTTACGCAGGCGGATTACAATGCAATTGTGAATGGCTGGCGGGCAAAGCAGGCCCGGTGTGCCCAGGGCGAGCAGAAATGGGGTCTGTTCACCGCTCAAAAGCCCTTATTATCATGAACTTGGACCAGATGTCGGTCTCTGGGTGGATCTGCGACATCTGTCATTGCTCAAGCAATCTAGATTCTAGTAAGCTTCCGCTGCGGAAAGTCGCGTTCACCGTTGTCAGCCAGAAGGCGGCGTACAGGACCAAGTAGTACTGAAAGTGAGCCCTAAAATGCCAAAGCATTATTATCATGAACTTGGACCAGATTCGGAGCTAAAGCCAGCGGCACGGTCAGCCGAAGTGCAAGGCCAACCCCCAAAATCCCAAAGCCAAGACTATTATTAAGCAGACAAGCCCAAGCTCTAAGCTACCCAAGTCCCGGGAAAAGGCCAGCTCTCAAGCCCAAGTGGACGCCCAAGCCCAAGTCCAAATCACATCGAAGCCCAAGTCAAGCTTAAGCCCAAGCCCAAATCAATGCCAAGTCGAACGCAAGCTCAGGTCAAGCGGACTCAAGCCCCCCATTGCAAGTGAAACTCTCACGTTACAAGTCCAAATCAAAGCCAAGCTCCTTAGCTCCAAGCCAAAGCTGAAAGCCCCAGTCAGTCCGAACCCTGAGCCCAAGGCAAAGTCCCAGTCGGAGTTTTCCAAGCCGCAGCCAAAGTTCTCCAAGCCCCAGCCAAAACGTCTAAGCCCGAGTTTCCCACGGCTAATCCCAAGTTTTGCAGGCCTAAGCCCAATTCTCAAGCATCTAAAGCCCAAATTTTCCAAGTCCAAGCTCAAGCCCCTGCGAAGCCCAGCCCACTCCTCGCCAAAAAAACTGAAGCTCAAGCGGCAGCTGAAGCTAATCCCTAAACCCTAAACCCTAAACCCTAAACACTAAACCCAAGGTTTCCAAGCCCAAGCCCAAGCCCAAGCCCAAGCCCAAGCTCAATCCCAAGCGTGAGGTTTGAAACCCCAAGCCCAAGGTTTCGTAACGCAAATTTAAGCCCAAGTTTTCCAAGCTCAAGCCTGCATTAAGCCAAGCCAACACCTTCCCCAAGCTGATGCGAACAATGGAAGGGGCAAAGCTGAAGAGCCAAGACCAGGGGTATATACCTATAGGATATAGCATGCTAACAGCCAAACTTAGCCCAAGCCAAACCCGTGGTTTAGGCATCGCCACGATTTGGCAGCACTCGCAGTTGCAATTTGCATGCTCTCGAACTGGTCCTTACGTGAGAAAGGGTGGTATGGCATAGTTTTTTAGTATGATTGTACCTTGCATGTGGACCGGGTTCACACTAAGTACCATGTGAAGTTCTTGGTATGAATGTGGTCGACATTTGGGTTGGGTTCATGCCAAGTTCCATGTCAAGCTCATAGCATGAACGTGGTCTGCATTTGGACCAGGTTCACGCAAAGTTTCATGTGAAGTGAGGATCAGAGTTCCAAGAGCAGCATCAAGCAACTTGAAGGGGAAGGAAGAGGAGAGTGGGTGGTGGCGTGGCAACATCCCTCGGACGCTCGGGCGTCCCTCTTTTTCCTAAATATAAAGAAACCTCAGACCTGAGCTTGATCACGGGCGGGAAACCTATCTTTTTGCCCACATCTCTGAAAATTTAAACCATTCTAAGTCTACATCTACATTGTTGTTTTTAACTTTTTTTGGCATAATAGTCGCAGACACTATTGAGTGAGTTCGACTTGTTGTTGTTGTTTTTGGGCATAATAGTCGCAGACATCACGAGGTAAGAGAGAGAAGGAGAAGCTGTATCACGCCTGGTACGTGGGGACTAAAACTAGAGGAAGTCTAGATTCATGATGCAGAAGAGCTGAACATATCTCTAGAACTAGTCTACATTCGTCTGTTAGACGAGGTGCACCCGTCTCTTTGCTTGGTTACCATTAGCAGCAACATAAGCTGCCGTTCAGTTTATTTTAGGTAGGATTTCTGAGGCAGCATTAACTTCCATTAAGGAAGAAGTTAAAGCTGTAGTTTGCAGTCAGAAAGCTACTATAGTTTGCAGTCAGAAAGCTACAGTAACTATAGTTTGCAGTCAGAAAGCTATAGTTAGCAGTGGCTGTCAGAAAGCTTATGCTTAAGTTGCTAAAGGTTCCATAGTAACAAAGAGCGACGTTGATTAATCGATGCTTCTCTATAGACAGTAAGCTCACACGTGTGCAAGTCGACGATGAGAACGAGGATGAACCAAAGGGTATAACAATAATTCTACTGTCGGCAGCTACTTAGAGTAGTCTACAACGCGAAAGCGAGGACGAGGGACAGGAACAAGAGTCGTTCTAGTGTACGTGGGGTGGACGTGATGAGCAATGAGCAAGCTGCTGCATTCTTTTTTTAATCATCATGATTTTTTTTTGCAACCTGTTTGCGATCCTGCTGCCATGACTAATGGCACACTGTCTGGAAGAAATTCAATCCGTTTGCTATTCTGCTGCCGCGGAAGGTAACTTCTTCACTAACTGCCAACTGGTGGTTTAAGCCTTAAGGTGAGTGGAGGCTGGGAAGAGGGGACAGGAAGTGGGTGCCGCGATGGGCTACCAACTGTGTACCATAGGCTGGTCCTTTTCTTGAATTGAGGGTTAAGGGGGGATGAAAATCATCAGCCTGAGGTTGTTTATTGCATGTTGACAGGCCTCTCCGAGTTCATTTTTTTCCCCCTCTCCGATACCCTTTTTTTTTTCTTTTTTTTTTAAATTTATTTACAAGAACAACCCGATCGGATGCTAGGTGTGCTGATACGAGCAGCTCTCCGACACTTTTTTCTTGTTTGGGTACATTAAACTAAATTTTTCTTTCTTGCAGACCTGGGGCCTGTCCTCTATAATTGTTTTGCTACAGTTAACTTTGCTACAGTAACTTCTTGCTTGCATACCTGAGGCTTGTTTGGGTGAATTTCTTTCTTACAGACCTGGGGCCTGTCCTCTACTTCTTTTTTTGCTTCTTTCCGAAGTCGCCTGACCTTGTTGGGTTCATTTTATTTTCTTCTTTTTCGGTCTAAAATGAGAGGGCAACGTTCTTCTTTTTCGGTCTAAAATGAGAGGGCAACGAAGAATTTCAAAGTACAACCAATGCATCCTAAGTGTTATATCTTCTCGTCGTTGTCGAAAGCAACCCAACGGGCTTAGCCTATTATTCCATTCAAGAAACGAGGTGGGAGGACGGAGGAAGGAGGAAGGAGGAAGGAGAAAACTCCCTTTTGGATTGTGGTGGGCAGAAACTATAATGGATTTAACAGTGTTACACACATAACGGCGATGATCACGGCTATATTATTTCTTATTCTTCCCCTGTCTAGTGCCCAGGCAGAGACCAGCACGGAGTGACTTGCACACGTGACATGACGTGACATATCGTGTTCTGCTGCATCATGTTTATGGACCTCTCCTTCACAGCTTCCTCCTGTTTCTCCGCGGGAGGGGGGGGGGAGGGGGGGGGGGGATTGGTTGCCTTGCCTACATGTTCAGTGGCACTGGCTTCTATTTTCTCTTCTCCCGCTTTCTCGTCCTCTTCTTCTTTCCTCTGTTTTTTTGTTTCTCCTTTCTCCTCTTCTGCTCTCTCTTCCTCCTCTTTTTCTTCCTCTCCCTCTCCCTCGTCTTTTTTTATCTTCTTCTTCCTCTTCTTCTGCCCTCTCTTGTTCATCTCTTCGCTCTGCATCTTTTCCTTTTTCTATTGAATTTCTTCTTTTTCTTCCATCTCTTCCCCTCCCTCCTCTTTCTCGGACGTTTCTCCTCCTCTTTTCTCTCTTCTTCTTCCTCTTCTGCTTTTTCTCTCTCTTCTTCTTTCTCTTCCGCCTCTTCTTCCTCTCCCTCTTCTTCTGATTTTATTTGTTCATCTCTTTGCTATGCTTGTTTTCCTTCCTATCTCTTCTTTCCCATCTTCCTCTTCCCCTTCCTCTTCCTCTTCCTTTGTTTGTTTTATGTTTCTTCTTCTCTTCCAGCTCCTTCGTTTGCATTCTTCTTTTTCTTGCACTTTATGTTCCTCTTCTTCTCTTCCTCTTCTTCCTCAGCTTGTGGCAGCCTGGACAGCCCGACGGGTAGCCTAGCCATTTCATACCACTCATGAACCTTTCAGTGAATAGTTTCACCTGTCTGTGCTAGGTCTTCCAATCAACGGTGTAAGCAACACAGCTGTTAAAACAACAATACAGGAAAAAAAAAAAAAAAAACCGAAAATACAGCCCACTACAGAATCTAGTACAGATCTGTTCTTAGCACACAGGCAACATTCAACAACAGGTCAGGAGCTCAAATCCCGCTAATCAAGTAGCCTAAGCTTAGGAGCCGTCATCTGTCAAATTGAATATAAAAAGAGAACGGACCCCTTTGCGAACTACTCGACAGATCAAATGAAAGTGTTCTCATTTCAACCACTGCAGGACCTCCAAAGGCTAAAATCATGCCCATTAACGAGTCACGGTTTTAGGAAACGTACGCGCCACTACAGGAGTGTCCAAATTCATCCAACTAAAACTGATTCTACTCTATGTTAATCCACGGCCAATAGCTGGGCGAAGTACTGGTGGTTTAAGTCCGTAATCGCTATGCCAGGAACACCCCAAGTTTCTCCAACTGTGATTTTCCATTGCGATAAGGACGAAAATTCTTCAACGCAGGCCATTCATGTGATTGAAGCCAAGTGAGAAAACGACGACTGTGCGGCAGCCACAAGTGAGAAAACGACGACTGTGTGGCAGCCACAAGTGAGAAAACGACGACTGTGCGGCAGCCACACCTTGTTCCTTATTCCGGCCGCAACTGATGTCATGATGCTATGCAGCGGCAGATAGCAGATTCAATGACAATCGCTACGCAGACGTCCTTCGGGGCATCCGTTAAAATTGGGACACTGCACTAGACCTTAGTTGGTTCCGTGTCTTGGGATTAAGTATTCCGGCCGCATCAGATGTCATGATGTTATGCAGTGGCAGATAGCAGAATGACAATCGCTACGCAGACGTCCTTTGGGACATCCGTTAAAATTGGGGCACTGCACTAGACAGATAGCAGAATGACAATCGCTACGCAAAGTCTGACGTCCTTTGGGACATCCGTTAAAATTGGGACACTGCACTAGACCTTAGTTGGTATCGGGTGCCAATTTGGTTCCTTGTCTTGGGATTAAGTTCCCAGCTCGTCTGGGGAGTGGATGGTCCCCTGCTTGCACAGGGTAGGTACTAGTGTGATTTGCAAAAATGAGAGAAGATGACATCATAGTAAAAATGCAGCTGTTCAGCCATATGAGGAGAAGATGAGCCTGCATTTTTCTCCCAAAAATTGGGAAAAAGAGGGGGGGGAGAAAGAGATTTACGTATGGCCATTGCATAAGTTCGCCACACAAAAGTCAAGAAATGGTCTACTACTTTTTAACAAACAAATGGTCGCCGGCCCCGGTCCTGTCTATACACGACAGGAAGCGTGGCAATGCCAATGTGTGTGTGTGAGTAGGATGAGCAAGATCAGAAGAAACCTTCAGCCAGAACGTGGAAATATACACTGCCACACCTTTTTTTTTTCCATGTGTGCATCAACTGAGCAGCCTGCCAATGTGCAAAATCAGAAGGAATCTTCCGCAAGAACATAGGAAGATACACCCCAATGGACAGATACATTGAAAAGAAATCCCGGTGTGAGTATGGACTGAAGAGCTGGCAGATGCAAATGGCGCAAGCGAGAGAGAGAGAGAGAGAGAGAGAGAGAGAGAGAGAGAGAGAGAGAGAGAGAGAGAGAG